CATTCACACAAATTCACGCATTCATGCATTCACGTATTCATGCATTCACGCATTCATACGACACCTCCGCCCACATTGCACGCATTCACACGAATTCACGCATTCATGCATTCACGTATTCATGCATTCACGCATTCATACGACACCTCCGCCCACATTGCACGCATTCACACGAATTCACGCATTCATGCATTCACGTATTCATGCATTCACGCATTCATACGACACCTCCGCCCACATTGCACGCATTCACACGAATTCACGCATTCATGCATTCACGTATTCATGCATTCACGCATTCATACGACACCTCCGCCCACATTGCACGCATTCACACGAATTCACGCATTCATGCATTCACGTATGCGTGCCAATTCACGCGCATTCACGCATTCACTCTCAATGTTTCTGCTGCAGCTCTACACAATGTACGCGCGCACCAACGACGGCACAGTGCTGCGCGCCGGCGCCATCAGCAACGGCAACTTCATCCAGGCCATGCAGCCGGCATGGGAGAGCAGCAACCCCGAGCAGCTGCGCGCCCTCCCCTGGATCATCAAGCTAGACAACATCTCCTCGGGATACATCGACGCACTCGGCCGCCCCGTCTCCGCGTTCTTCTACGAACTCGCGCTCCCAGAGGACGCCACCGATGACTCGCTCGCCGAGCCGACAGCCGGCCAGGTGGCGCCGCGCGTCCGCAACCTGCTCGGCTTGATCCGCGTCGACGAGGCTGAGGTGTACGGGCCTCCGCACTACTTCGCGACGACGCTGCGTGGGCGGCCCGACGCGGCGGTGGCGCGCGGGCAGCTCGCGGCGGCGTGGGCGCAGGCGTACCGGGAGCAGCAGCGCAATCCCGACGTGAAGGTCTTCGTCGTGATGACTCATCGGCGCACAGTCGGCGGCGCGCCGGGGACGCAGGCCATCTACTTTCTGTCGGTCGACGGTCGGATCATGCAGCCGCCGCTGTCGCTCCTCGCGAGGGTCAACGCCATCATGAGGGGAGAGGAGCTGGAGCGCGGGAGGAGAGAGGAGACGCAGTCGGCATCGGTGGCGGTCCCTGGCGTTCTCGCGAGGTCGCGCGTCGATCAACCCGACTTGGAAGAAGCGTTGAGAAGTGCATGGGAAGAGGTCAATGCTGGTGAGAATTTCTGCTTCGGAGGGAATTTCTGCGTAAAGCATACGTTGTTCTACATGCGTACAAAGAGGCTCCAACAGACTCGCTGGTCGGCGTGGGACCAAGCGTACAGGGACAGGCTGTCACCACGCGTACGGGTCTACCTGGTCAACACAGAGTCAGCAAGAACGAGTGACCGCCGGCCTGCAACCGCTGCAACATACTTCCTGTCATGTCGATGCGACGGAATCGTGCGTCCGTTCCTTGCCTCTTATTCTCAGGCGCGTTATGAAATATCTTAGTAGCAACCGAGTGTCGTCACGCCTCCACCACAGACACGTCTAACAGAGGTGGCACCATTAACCACACGGTGAACATCGGCTGGCATCCGTATCAGAGGTTTGAAGTGGATGCGGTTACCGGGGCGGTGAGGAGAGTCTGGCAGACAGCAAACCCTGGTGAGGCAATTTGATAACTACTTTGGTAGTGCGTACAAAGTGAACACAAGCAATAAACAGATAAAGTGAAAGTATCAGATAAACAGGAGCGGATCCAGAATGATATTATAATGTGCAAATCTGTCTGGCTCCTGCACATACGTAAACATATCATTCTATAATGCATAATGTACTGTTTCTTACTCCATCTTTGACATCACTATATTATGGTTCGTGCTATTCATTTTGTAATCAAAACGAATTAGTGTTATACAATATCAATCATGGTGATTAATTTAATCCTACCTAATTTAACCTTTAATAAGTAAACTTTGGTTTCAATTTTTATAGGTGAGACAATTTACATCCATAATGCAGCAATCTTAGACAGGATAATAAACAACCTGCCAGGAACTCTATTGGTGTATTCGTGTCATTACATACGACAGAACATTCAGCCTTCTACAGTTACCCCAGACCCTCAAGTACTGACTCGCAGCATTCTGGAAACCAATGAAGGGACCCGGATGTCCACCGTCCATCTGTCTTGCAAACAGAGTGAGTACATCGCTGGAAATCTGTACTTCACCACGTATCGTCATAGTGAATCCATTCTACTTTCAATCAGTGAGATATTAAACAAGCGTTTTTCCATAGAAGTGTCTCCTATTTTTTAATCGGTTGTGTCTAAATGACCAAGCTGATCAGGTTATTTTCTCTAATTGTGGTAGGAGTCATTGCTAGTATTCTGTACACTCGACTCTCTAATAGCGACGCAACTTTGGCAGATGATTTTATCCCATAGTATTTCTAGAAACAATAATCTCTTCGTGTATTTACAAAGGTGAAGCCCCTATATGTGATAGCATCTTACAGAGACAAGTGGAGTTAAGCAGCCGAGAGTTCTCTGATGCTAATGACTACTGCCTGGGAAAACAGCAATCCAGGAACGAGCAAACAGTCTGCCGTGGAACATACAACTAGCTAATCTCGAGACAGGCTACATAACCGAGATGGGCAACCTGCCATTGAGGTCAACTATGATGTCATGCTGCCTGCAGACAGATCAGCTGAAACCACGTCAAAGAACCGTCGTTTGATCAGACGTCACAACAGATGAGATCACTTGGCTATGTGCTTTTCGTCCTGGTGAGGTGTACGGAGATGATTACCACATCACAAGCATCGTACTTGGCCAGTTCCATCAGCAGAGGCTGCCCAACAGACTCGCTGGTGCATGGGATCAAAGCATACAGGGAGCAGGGTCTGTCACGACGGCTACGGTCTTACCTGGTCAACACAGAGTCAGCGAGAACGAGTGACCGCCGGCCTGCGACGGCTGCAACATACTTCCTGTCTGTCGATGGACGGATCGTGCGCTGTCTACCTTGCCTCTTATTCTCAGGCGCGTTAGGAATATCTTAGTAGCAACGAAGTGTCGTCACGCCTCCACCACAGACACGTCTAACAGAGGTGCACCATCAATCCACACGGTGAACATCGCTGCATTCCGTATCAGGAGGTTGAAGCGGATGCGGTTACCGGGGCGGTGAGGAGAGTCTGGCAGACAGCAAACCCTGGTGAGCCAATTTAAACAATATTTTGCCAGTGCGTACAAGATATCTAGCTATAAATGCATCTAAAGGAGTGAACGAGATATGTTTAAATTAAATACCAGTCTGTTCCTGCATACAAACAATCATATCTAATTCTGCACTCAATTAATTGTTGATTAACCCATCATTGAGGCTAATTGTAGATATTTAAGAGTTGTTAATTGTTGAAAATAAAGATAAAACTTACATGAAGTAATTGCTGGTGTTTTCGAGTTATGTTTCCTACAATTCTGGTTACATCTTATTATTTAACACGTTGCAACTTATTTACAGGCAAGACAATAATTGTGAATATGCAGAAGATTGTGAAGGACAAGGAACAACCAAGCAGGCACCTCTATTGTTGTATGTTGTGTCGTTACAATACGACAGACATTCAGCCTTCTACAGTTTACCCCAGACCCTCAAGTACTGACTCGCAGCATTCTGGAAACCATGAAGGGTCCTGGATGTCCACCATCTGTCTGTCTGCAAACAGAGTAAGTACATTGCTAGAAGATACTACTATATATACTAGTAAGGCATATGTTGAAGTGATTTCTACTTTAAGATCTGTTCCAATAGCATATACTTCATCGATGGTATGTTTACATCTGTAGACACTAAGGGAGTCACAGCACCGAAATATCAAACTGGCACGTGTTAGATTTAGTTTAGTAGAAAATGTTTCCCAAAAATATAATAAATTGAATATTTTTGATCATATTTGTCAAAGGTGAATCCTCTCTATGTGATCTCATCTGATGGTCAAGTGAGGTTTAAACTCGCCGAGAGTTCTCTGATGCCCATGACAACAGCCTGGAAAAACAGCAACCCAGAAAACGAGCACAGTCTGCCGTGGAACATACAATAGCTAATCTCGAGGACAGGCTACATAACGGAGATGGCAACCTGCCGTTGAGTCAACTATGATCGTCATGCTGCCTGCAAGACAGATCAGTGGAAACCACGTTCAAAGAACGCGTCGTTTGATCAGATGTCTCAACAGATGAGATCACTTGGCTAGTGCTTGCCACGTCCTGGTGAGGTGTACGGAGATGATTACCGACTTTACAACAATCGTACTTGCCAGCTTCACATCAGCAGAGGCTGCAACACAGACCGCTGGCTGCGTGGTGACCAAGTGTACAGGGAGCAGGGTCAGTCACCACGGCTACGGGTCTACCTGGTCAACACAGAGTCAGCACAGAACGAGTGACGCCAGCCTGCGACGGCTGCAACATACTCCTGTCTGTCGATGACTGATCGTGCGTCGTCTACCTTGCCCTCTTATTCTCAGGCGCGTTAGGAATATCTTAGTAGCAACGAGTGTCGTCAACGCCTCCACACAGACACGTCTAACAGAGGTGCACACAACCACACGGTCGAACTCGCTGGCATTCCGTATCAAGAGGTTTGAAGTGGATGCGTTACCGGGGCGGTGAGGAGAGTCTGGCAGACAGCAAACCCTGGTGAGCAATTTAAACAACTATTTTGCCAGTGCGTACAAGATATCTAGCTAATAAATGCATCTAAGAAGTGTAACGAGATATGTTTAAATTAAATACCAGTCTGTTCCTCGCATACAAACAATCAATATCCTAATTCTGCAGCTCATTAATTGTTGATTAACCCATCATTGAGCTACATGTAGATATTTACGAGTTGTTAATTTGTTGAAAAGTAAAGATATAAAACTTACATGAAGTAATTGCTGGTGTTTTCGAGTTATGTTTCCTACATTCTGGTACATTATATTTTAACACGTTGCAACTAATATTTAAGAGGCAAGACAATAATTGTGAATAGTGCAGAGATTGTCGACAGGACAAGGAACAACCAGCCAGGCACCTCATATTGTGTATGTTGTGTCTTACAATACGACAGACATTCACCCCTTCTACAGTTACCCCAGAGCACCCAGCTACTGCGGACTCGCAGCATTTCTGGAAACCATGAAGGTCCTGGATGTCCACCATCCGTCTGTCTTGCAAGCGAGAGTAAGTACATTGCTAGAAGTACTACATATATATAGGTAAGCAAGCATATGTTGAATTGATTTCTACTTTAGATCTGTCCAATAGCATATACATCGATGGTATGTTTACATCTGTAGACACTAAGGAGTCGCAGCACCGAAATATCAAACTAGCACTGTTAGATGTTAGTTTAGTAGAAAATGTTCCCAAAAATATAAATAAATTGAATAATTTTGATCATATTGTCAAAGGTGAATCCTCTCTAGTGTGATCTCATCTGATGGTCAAGTGAGGTATAAACAGCGAGAGTTCTCTGATGCCATGACAACAGCCTGGGAAAACAGCAACCCAGAAAACGAGCAACAGTCTGCCGTGGAACATACAACTAGCTAATCTCGAGACAGCTACATAGACCGGAGATCGGCAAGCCTGCCGTTGGGGTCAACCTATGATGTCATGCTGCCTGCAGACAAATCAGTGGAAACCAACGTTCAAAGAACCGTCGTTTGATCAAGATCTCTAACAGATGAGATCACTTGGCTATGTGCTTGCACGTCCTGGTGAGGTGTACGGAGATGATTACCACTTTACA